TTTCTAGCAACCGCCTAGCAACGTTCAATACAAACAGTATTGTATGGACCGTTGCTAGACGGTTGCTAGGAAAACTGTGCAATTTTTTTACCGAACGTAATAGGAATCTTACATTGATCGCAGACGGTGTGTTTTTAAGTATTTACAGTAGTGGTCGTAGGTAAAGAAATTTTCTCGACAAGTTCCGTTTTCACAATTTTCCATTAGATATCGTTTAAATTTAAGAAAAAAACAAAACATTCTCAAAAAATTCTTCCAAAATTTTTTGTTTTGTTTTTTTTTCTCTTGGAAAAGTTGTTTGGCACTTGAAAAAACAATATCTTATAGTTTCTGAAAAAAATGAAAGTTTACAAAAACTTTTGAATATTTTTTTTAAACCAAAAAATAGTATTTTGAAAAAACGAAAATCAATCTTATAAATGTGTGTAAATCGAGAACGAAATTCAGCTTGAGGTGTCAACTTGCATTTAATGCAGTTAAATAAAGATTAGTATAATAAACTGTATTTAGAAGAATGTTTCATTTCGAAAATATGTACAAGCCAAATTTATATTATTTTTTTGGTAGAACTCCCTATAAATTTTTACATATTAGCACTTCCTTAAATGTAAGATAAAATTAGTAGACCAGAGTCAAGAGAACTTATTGTTAACATAATTTCTTTTAGTAATATCGTTACTATTCCAGAGGTAGATCTGTTAAACTTTACACCACTGTAATCACAAAAAAATATGTAAAAGAATAGAACAATAATTGTCCCAAAAAATATGTGGATAACTTGATTGACGTGTATTTCTTTATTACTTTAGTTTTGAAAAGTGGACAAATATATAATTTCTGTAACTATCGAAACACTTGGAAAGGTCACAGTGTGTTTTTTGAAACTTTGGCCGCTAGGATGATATTTTGAGAAGCAAGTTTGCTAGTGTCTTCTTAGGTCACGTAAAACTTGGTTAAAAAATATATGTATATTATAGGTACGTTTTCTAAGGCAATAGGTATATGTGAATGACGATTCGGGACATTTCACACGCGAATAAAATGTAAATTGGAACAAGCCTAAAGACTAAAGCTAGAAACCTAACAAGCCGTTATTAATAAAGCCAATAATTTGCCAATAATATGCCAACACGGTAGGGAAAATGCGCTCTGCAAATGCGCTTCGTTGGACGTTAAAAACTAACATTTTTCATCACATTAACTTATTTGATATCTTCAAGAAAATTGAATTTTTGATTCATTAAAAGTATATATTTTTCTTAATCGAAATTGTGTCCAGTAGGTACTTTTATAACTTTTAGATTAAGAAAAAAATTTTGTTATTACTCCACTGGAAGATTGTTAATTGATTTTCGTCCAGACTGTATGCCAGCATAACATCAGAGATCTGCCTAATATCCATCTTCACTGTAGAAAATAATTTCTGATTTTTATTTTTAACAAATGCTGGTTGGCTTAGTGTCTAAATTACTTAGCTTGCTAGTTTACTGATAATCATTCGAGCAAAGGTTACCAAAGTGATAAAAGATGTGATTTGTGGTGAAAAATGTTAGTTTTTCTTACCCACAGTGATAATGTTTCAGGAGATGATTGATGAGTCAAAAATAGTTAAATTCAGAAAATACAGTCCTTATTTTTCAGTGTTACACGTATATTTTAAGCAGGCTACAAATGTAACGAGTCACAAAGAAAAAAAATATATTTATAATATTAATAATTCAAGTCATCTTTTCGTTTCAACAAGTTGGAAAGGTTTTGTTATTTTAAATACATTTATAAACAACTTTTTTACGTCAAAAGCGCACATTTTAAATATATTTTAATATAGTTATCAGTTAAATTTTTCTTGTTATAAATGGCAACAAATCCAATAATATTTTTAAAGGTTTTAAAGGTCAACTTTGTATCTTGGAAACGAAAAATTTTGTAGACAAAACTTTATTTGAACTACCCCTTTAATGTCCACTGTAGAATCTATTGGTAACGTTAGGCCTATTAGTAACTGAACACCCTGTACACCATTACCTATACAGAATTTTCAGTTCTCAGGCATTTTCATATCTGTTAACATAACTCCGAGATTTGTCATTGTCTTCAAGGACGCCTGACTGTCCGTAAGATTATTAATCGGACTATTCCTGTAGATCTTTATATTATTTTCTTTTGTACAATGCGATACTGTATACTTTTCCATTTGAAAAACGTAGGCATATTTACCACGTAAGCTGTGAAATAATAGTTTCTCATTTCACATAGTAGCAATGTTCCTACTCGATCTTTAACCCATTTGTGTATTAGGTAGTGGTCCTGAGTCTGTTAGTGTGTGAGTGCATGTGTGTTCCGTTTTCGCGGCCATGTTCCATTACCTAATAAATTTGTTTTATAATTGAATTTTGGAACCATAAGCATTACTCCAAACTAGATTTTTAATTTTATTGTGTCCCGGGTCTGCACGAATACCTCCTGGTGCATACGGCAGCCTGAAAAGCTCACCCTGGCCTATTCTATTATCACAAAGTTCAGATTTTCATAGAGACCGTGGTTGTGGTTTTCGTTGCCTTCGTTATTAACAACTGAGTTTTTGTGCCTAGATCAGCAGTAGCGATCCATTGCTGCATCTTAATCATTTAAAGAAGCATATTATGTTGTAATAGGTGCATATTTACTAGGTAATAGGTGCATATTTACTTCATCAGTTTTGACAAGGTCCGTCTGGCTAACATTAGTGAGATATCCATAACTATTCCTGATTTTATTTATCTGCGGCTTCCAAGTAAATATCGAGATTAAAATAACTCTTCTCCCGACAGCTGTACTTGTTTACCTTAAAGTTTTTCGTTCTTCTAGTAAATACTACTATAGTTGATTCGGCAATACTAATCCATATCTGCCCGCCTTGAGACAATATTCATGGCCTTCTGAATTTGTTCCTTGCTATAGTGTTGGATTTACTCTGAGCAAGAATGATTAAATCATCTTCATATATCAGAACCTTGTGCACGTCTCTATTTAATAAATTATAGTGGCCCGTCGATGATCAGATTCCACAGCGGTAGACACAGTACTCCTTTCTATCGACACTTCCTTAGAGTCATTAAAGACAAATAAACCAGTCATAAATTTAACATGCAGTAACCACCATCGAGGTTCATCGACTCTTATTTTTTCTCAATACGAGGACGATCTTATGGAAGTACTATCAAGTTACCTCAACATCCTTAAGGATGCTCTTTGTATTCTAGCACATATTTAGCCTTTTACAATCAATAAAGGGCTGTTTCTGTCGACATTCCTGTTCTATAAGCAAACTGGTTCCTGACGGGTCTATCCAGCAGAAGTAAAAAGGTTAGGTTTCTTCTGAGGCATTACCGGATAAATGCCGTCTCATCCTGGTGATGCATATGGTTCGAAAGAGTTTAATACAAATTTTGCATTGTTTATATCTATTACTTTCTTTGCAACCTGCTAATTCTTTTTCAGTGCTCTTCTCTGAGGTTTCAGTTATGGGTTTTGAGACATTAATAATGTGAAATCCAAAAAAGTAAACTAAATATTTATAATATTGGCTCTAAGGATTCTAAGGAATTCAATATTTTTTTAATTGATTTTCTCTGTATCTATGGGTATCAAATCTCTTGTCTTTAATTATACATTTTCCATAAATACAGTCTGCACATTATAAGAAAATGTTATTTTATTCATATTTTTACTTATATTCTTTCAAAATTTTCACTGTAAATTTGGCAAGAGAATAGAGTATAACGTTCAAATAATTATAGTGTGATTTATTATCAGTTTTTAGCAGTAGTCTAAAAAATTGGAGAAAGCTTATTAATACTTTTCATAGTAGAGACCACAAATTAAATTCATCTTTTCCTTAACGTATTGTAATGAGGAATTATATATATTTTTTGGTAGACATTAAGAAACTTCATATTGGTAACCACTGTTTCGCATAATTATTGGTAAACCGTTTGAGAAATGTTGATCAAATCCAGCGCTGATAAATAATTAATTAATATTAAGATTAGGCTCTATATTATACAGCATCGATCTTGGTTGAAACGTGCCAGATTAATCTAGTTTAATTGAAAACGAAATAGAAATTGGATTTCTGTATCCTTGGGGAAGCATAAGTAATTGTAATTTTGAATTAAATTTTAATGAATATTTTTTAACAAAATTTTTTTTTAAAAGATGAATCAGAAATTTGTTTGCAACACTACCTAGTAATTGTTAACAAATCTTAATTAAGCATAAATTGGCAAAAAATATAAAATTTCATTTGTCTTCAATCCAATAAATGAATTGGAATACAGAACAATTTTTATAAAAATATTTTATGAAATAGAACTTGATGAAAGTCCAGGCAAGTAGAAACCAGATACGGTAATTTTCATATTAAAATGTAAATATGTATATGATTACTTTCTGACCCTTGCTTGAATTTTAACGGAAGTTCTAAAACACTTCCAGGTACTAATTTATACATTAATTAATTCAGTACTTCAGTAGATTAATGTCAGTTAATGAAGTACTCATCAAAATTGAAAAGTTCCGTATAATCTCGTAAATTAAAAACAAACACTAATGTATCATTTGTCCAATGTGAGTTCTCCATAACCAGAAAGTAAGAAAGGAAATAATTGTTTGAGATATTTCATTATTTCCTTCGTTACTTTAAATTAAACAATATTAATAAACCTCCATTATTTGCTACTTCTATTGAAATCTATTGTGAGTTTAACATTTCAAATTCATATATTTTTTAAAATAACACAAAATTTGTTAGAAAAATTCCAAAATTTAAGCAAACGGTATTTTATATGATACTACCTGTAGGTGTCTAAATAATATAAGAGCCGATCTTAATGATCAGAATATCACACTATTCCCAATTTTTTATTCAGTTTACAAAACATTCAACTTCAATTAGAACTCCCATCGTTATTTGCCTTGTTTTCTCTGCAGTCAATTTTACAGTACTATTTTCTTTCCAGCGCTCCTACTATATCTCCTACCCCATAACCGGGTATAACTACTATTACTCCCTTAATCTACCCAGTTCTTCGTACCTCCCCAAGGTGTACCGTTGGTACTACAGCTGGCCCAGGTTGTATTCTTCCTGGCCCTCCTACCGTTGGTACCTCAGCTCCTACCTCAGGAATTATTACCTGAATAGTTACTCGCCCAGCTGGTACTACTGGTCAAGTTACTGGCCCTACTACCGTTCTGTGGACTACGATTTTAGCGAGCTCGAAAACAAGATCGATAACCTGCGCGTGAGTATTACGCGTGGTTGTTTGTGAGACGTCTGTTTGGATTAGAGTAGATGTGCCAGCAGTGGTTTTAATAGATTTTTTGACAGATTTTACACACTACAAACGAAACAATATTGATACAATAAATAGTAGTAAACGCAGCCTACATAACAATAATACACCGCCCTCCCTTCTAGATAAGTCATCAATTTCGAATTTAATTTCTATTCCAATGTAACACTAATAGAAAATATTTAATTTGTATTGTCGATCCTATACTGCTTGATTATAAGGTACATTGTGTAATGTAATACATTTTATATTATAAATAATAATGACTAATAATTTCTCGGTTTGCAATTACATCAGTTTTGAGTTTTGAGTAGCCATTATGCAATATATGCGAGTATTTAATATGAAATGAAAAATAATTTAAACAATTTTTACTGATGAGTATCTACTAATTTCTTGGGAGCAGATCGAGGAATTTTTTTCCTAATGTTCCTTCTATGAAAGATATCGGGCCCCAAAGAGGTAGATAGAAATGTACATTTTGGTTTCTCACTTTGATACCACCATATTGTGATAAAATGGCATTGGCGGTTTTTCAATACTACAAGTTATCCAAAACGGACTGTCCCCCTATAGGTATATTTTTAAAAAACTTTGACAGGTATCAATCTGAAGTATTTCTAAATACTTTCTTTAAAAAACTTTTAAAATTTAAGGTTTTCGTGATAAATCGCTTTTTGAAACGAGCAGCAACAACTAGGATATATTTTCATGTAATTAGTTCATTTAACGTTGCCAAAGTCCAATACATTTTGAAACGGTTGGTCGTAACTTAAAAGAAACATGTCAAAAGAATAAACTTTTACATAATACAAAATGAGAAAATATTTCAGAAGTGATTGGCTTTTCCACACGTAGTAATAAATACCAACATACCGTACATGAATACTGAAAGTAAACGTACTACCTAGTATTTGTATTAATTCGATATGAACACACAATATTCAATGTTCGTAAGCTTTCTGGGAATACTAAATTAATTACGTAGATATGCAGTGATTATTGGATTATTGATTATCCTAATCAATATTTTTTGCCCAAGTTTTATTAATAAGGTACAGTTCAGAGAAATGATGTTAACTATCTCAGTTAATGATGCTTATTGTGTTATTCAGATTCAAAAGTTATTCTTATTTGATTTTATGGTATATAATAAAACTCAATAGATTAAAGATCTGTTTAGGTTTCAAATCTGAGTAAGAAACCAATATAGACAAAACACTCAACGATTAATATATTTTCTAAGGTATGTACGAAAACATTAGAAAACATACTTGTAGTACAACATGTTATGTTACAGCAATATTATTTTAAATAATAGTATACGCATTCTGATCAGAGGGTAAAAAACATGTTTAAACACATCATAATATTGTGTTTTCTAATAGAATCCCAGTTCTAGTTACTGAAGAGATATGAAAATATCAATTGTAACAATCGTACCTACCCTCATTTGATAATATCAGTACTTTATAGACCAAACAGCTAACATTCCTTATTTCCCTTTTTTATGTATCGGCTCACAATTTCAATCACGATCCCTAGTGTGTAACTCTAGGTTTCATACAAATTCAACCAAAGTATTAGTGTATCCAGGGGCGGATCCAGAGGTGGATTTTTTAGGGGGAGGGGGAGTGTTTGTACAGTTGATATCTAAAAGGACCTAAAAAAAAGATATGCAGTGAAGAACACAGTTTAGAATTTTAATACTGTGAGGTATGGGGCTCTTGGGGTTTATTCTTATGGTTTATTTGTACTAAAAATAAAACAAATTTTCGAACCTTTGCCTAATGGACTAGTATAGTTTACCGATTGTGTTAAATGTTGACGTGGCGTGTTAAAAATGCTACATGTTGGATACAGTAACCTATGTACTTAAGATTTACCCGTTACGCGTTGACATATCAATACATCACATGATACAACATATAAATTGGTCACATTATTCTGATGCGTTATTAGATATATGTACAGGGTGATTTGGAAGATGTATCATAAATTCAAGAACTGACAGAACAATAAAAAATACTTACTTGTGAATCACGGACCTTTTCTTGTTTTTGAGTTACAGTGCATCATTTTTTATTTCTTTTAACTAAATTTTAGCCATATTTTTTCCAAAAAAAATTGTAATGCATTGAAATTTGGTTCAGGTAAATTAATAAGCATGCTAAATAAGTTCGTGTTGCTAGTTAATTTATCATCTGTTAGAAGTCGTTAGCTGTGATATGACAACTTTGTTGAGATTAGGTTCTATACAGAATATGTCATACAAACTCTATAATTACATAGTTACATAAAATACTATTGTTGAAACTGGTAGACCACAGACTCGTGAACTCAAAATAGGCAGATTTGGCCTCAAAGTACGTGATTTTTTTTTTAATTTTGTAGATAACTCGAATACGTATTAATCGATTTTGATTATTTTTGGAGTGTGCACTTTTACTTTCAATCTCCACATTTTGGTGTTACACAGAGTGTTTTTTAAAACTAACAACTCTTACAAAACTGATCCGTTCATAACTTTTTCCTCTTTCGGGCAATAATGACAACTAGTTTTTATTTGATAGGTGATATCATTTGGAAGTTTTTGGGCCTCTTGTAGAATTTTGATTAAATGAGCGGTTTGGGTATAAAAAATATTTTTTAAATGTATCTTACCACTCATATTACAATACTTAACAAAGTGCTAGTAGGCTGTGTTTTTGTAGGTTGCCTGCAATTTCAGTTTGATTTTGATTGGGATAGCATTTATTATTGGCCCTTTTATCCTACCCAATAGACTGAATAGGGAATTTTATTTAGAATTTTTTGCAAAACCCGAGTTATTGGAATATGTGCCGTTATTGTTCAGAGCAAATATGTGGTTTATGCATAATGGCGCTCCAACACATTTCACTGTAAATGTACGGCAGTTTGTGAACCAAAGATGGATCGGTAGAGGGGATAATTTTCTGTATACTGGCCTATACGTTCACCAGACTTAACACCTTGCAACTATTATCTTTGGGGCACTCTGAAAACAACAGTGCATAATTCCACATCGAACACTGAACTAAGTTGTGGAGGCATATCCAAAATGCCATAAATGTTTTAAAAAATAGCCCTTAAGAACTGCAAAGGGTGTCCTTTAACTTTCTTAGCTGAATTAACTCTTGTTAACTCACAACGGTGGTCATTTTGAAAAGTTTTTATTATAAGTTGTACTAAATTTAATAACCTGAATTTTGTACTTTTATCTCCAGCATTTTGTATTTTATTTGATTGTTTTTACGAATTATTTCAATAAAATTAGGCACGTTGTAAATAACTCCAATTCGTCCTATGTATGTTATCGTTGTAAACACTCATTAAGAATTGACAGGTACAATGACTTAAAGATCAAAATCAACAAAAATTACAGTCGATCTACAAAATCAGTGACTACTAGCACTTTGTTAAGTATTGTAATATGGGTGGCAAGACAATGTAGACATTTAAAAAATATTTTTTTTGTACCCAAACCGCTCATTTAATCAAAATTTTACAAGAGTCCTAAAAACTTCAAAGTTTCCAATCAAATAAAAAATAGTTGTCATTATTGCCCGAAAGGGGAAAAATTATGAACGGGTATTATCACCTTACATCAATTTTGTAAGAGTTGTAAGTTTTAAAAAACACTCTGTGTAACCCCAAAATGTGTAGATTAAAAGCAAAAGTCCACACTGCAAAAATAATTAAAATTGATTAATACGTATTCGAGTTACATATTTACAAAATTTAAAAAAATTAACGAACTTTGAGGCCATCTAGCGGCCAAACGAAGTCATTTCGGATATAAGTGAATTAGCCTAAATCTGCCTATTTTGAGTCCACAAATCTGTGGTCTTCCGTTGTACACGTTATTTTGGGACACCCTGTATATTAAACAGTAGAAGCTGGTCGATCTTGGGGCAGTCAACTCTATGTATATGACATACAATGTAAAAAACATAACCTCAAAACAGTTATGTGATAAAACATCATGGAAGAGGTTGTAGTTGGCAACTTCTAGTAGATAGTAAAATACATAATACTGACTATTTATCATCCCAAAAAACTGTGTGTACCAAATTTTTCTGTATTGCACTGTTTTTTGGAAGCTAAAAATTTATTTAAAAAAATCATCTGTTACACTCTGTCCATAAAAAGACAGATCTTGATAACTGTATAAACCTTTTCGAATGAGTCTGAGTTTGTAAGTGACATTTAAGAAATATCCTAAACATCCGGTTAAAAATGGAATTGAACATATTATATGTTGGTACAGTCATTGTTAAATGAAAATTAGTTAATCTGATGGATACAATGAATGAGTCGGAAAGGGACTACTATATAAAATCAATATTTTTTTACGTTTTCAATAAGTTGTTTTTCTGTTATAAAAAAATAAAAACGCATTTTGGTGACATGTACCTGATACTTCCAAATCTTAATAATTAACTTGCGTCATTTTTAAGTTTTCACGCCACAAAATAATGTATTAAAACAATAAAACGGTATTTCTGTAACACAAGTTAACAATTGCTTAACACGTGTTGATGGGTCGCGTTTTAATAAGTGTCGTAAGTTTAATGGTGTTGCGGCTTTTTACAGCTTGTTTCAAAAGTCGTCAAATCAGTAACCTGAAAGGTTTCTGAGCCTTGAATTATATACTTCTTTTGTTGTAAAGTTAAATTTTGATTTATTGTAGGTTTTATGTTAATTTTATGTACGATACCCAAGTCAAACTAAAATTCATTGTTCTATTTGTATACGTTTTCTGGGGGAAATTAATTCTCTCTCTGCGTGTTCTTTAAACAACTGAACTAATATGTATTGTTCTAAGCGCCACTTATAATGCCTAATAAAACAGATTTCCCAGCTCAAAAAGGTAAACAAAACGCAAAAAGCTTCTAATTAATTATTCCTCTAGATACCGCAGTCTC